GGACATGCACATAAAAAAGAGATCAATCGCAATTCACTTTGTGCTTTATCTGTGTTGGACACAATTTCTATTTCATTAAAAATGAGAAAAACTTTCACATAGAATTTTATTGGAAACTAAAACATTTTTATTGTGATCGCACAGCGGCGGGCACATCTAAAACGATCGGCGGGCGCCATCGTACCCGTGCGCACGGGTACGTAGACCCTGCTGTAGTGCTTTAGCCTACCCTGCTGTGGATACTTCAAACATTCTACCTGAAGTGGTCTTTACTAATATCTTTATTATAAACTTTACAACTAGCAATAAAAATGTTGCAAATTTGTTAACTGTAGTCTAGTGCTTAATGTTACGTTATATAATCCTTAGCCAATTAAAGGCTCCTCAATGATAAAAGTCACAGACATCTGAGTTATTAAGTAAACTGTAGCTATGGCTCTTACAGTTACTGTAAAATTAGATACTTCTATTTAAGCCACATGGTCTATTAATGTATTATATTAATGTAGCCTCATGATCACAGAGCATCATTGATAATTCTGAGCACCTTGTTCTCCAGCTGTTGCACAGTTAGTCGAATCATTGGCAGCAACCATCCAGTAAAGTGATGTGCATAAAAACACGACATGTTATTCATGGATTGATAATCCTTTTTATTTTAATACTGAGTAGTGAATCATGTTTAGTTACAGAAAGAATTTTTATACTTTCTTTGTCAACCTTGTCTTTGAAAGGATACGTCTTTTAAAATGATATATTATCACAAATAATGCCTAAGTCATAAATAATACCTAAATATTATTTATGACCTAGGTATTATTTGTGACTAGTATTATTAGCCTGGCATTGTAAATATGTTGAGAATAATACGAGGAATATGAATGTCTAAAATATTTCATTTCAAAAAGAACAAGTTTTTTCAAGGATATTGACTTGAATTTTCCTGTTTTCACATTATCGTAATAACAATTTAATGCATTTGTCTCACATGCACGACTTACTGATTTTATTAAAATACAGTATAATCAGGAGATATGTAAAAACAGCAGAGCTTAAATTGCGCCGGAGCCCACCAACTTCTTAATTTTTAGGATAAATTGTAATTCTAGTCGGAGCGCACCGGAGCCCTAAATAAGAAGGCTCCGGTACTTGTTTTATAGAATTGAACAACAATTTCAGTAGAAATTTGATTTCGAAAATTTGTATTTTTAGCAAAAAAATTATGTTAAAAATTACTTATTAGATTTATTAAAATTAGAGATAAATTTAAAAAAAAGACAAAAAAAAGAGAATCTGAAAGGTTTCAGATTTTAAATTACGTGCAAAGGGGCGTTTTTTTAACATTTTGTCTGTTATCTTTACCTATTTAATATCCTGTTTTTTGCATAAAATTCAGTTCAAGATCAATATCGCAAAATAATTTTAAATTGAATCTATCTTTAGTATTTCCGATACACAGTCTCGCCCGCTGGAGTTAAAAATGCTTTTTCTGTGCAACGTTGCCGTTGCTCCTTTGAAATCGTAGAGTTTGTTAATCAAAAATTCGTTAAAGTTTTACAAAATATGAAATCGATAATTAAAAAAATTTCAAATTTGGGCTTTCAAATTTCCAATATTCGCAGTAGGATTACGTCATTCAAAATTAGATGGCTCTAGGTACCGTTGTTTTATCACAATGCGAAAAACATACATACATTTATGCAGATTCTTCATTATTTAATTTCTTCAAATATAATGCAGAGCGATAATATTTGGTGGCAACAGTTTGAAAAGTGAAAAGGACATTCAGAGTGATTCGACGTAAAATCGAAAGACGAAAACACTAGTCCCTCAGGGACAAAGCTCCTTTGGACTAATAATCTAATATATAATATATTTAGTCTAATAACAAAATTATTAGATTAACTTATAGTTAAAATCACTAAAGAAATAAATTTTAATATGTTTCTTTAATTATTAATCACTTTAATCATTAATTATTTTAATGTTTAACGATTTTATTTATTTATTTCTTCTTGTTTACTTTTCTGATGGTCTACGGTGGGGATCCGGCTCTTCTAATTTTAGAAATTAAGCCCTGAAAAACAGTGCACTTCATTGCTCTTGTACAGATGATGAGATGTCCAATAGTTTAATTGATTGATGAGATGCCAGTTGCAACACCAAATGCTCAACTTATCACATAGCTGATGCATCAGTATGTGCTCATATGCGTCGTAAATAAGCCCCTTAATGCATAATCTTAGTATAAGCAATAAAGAAATTTCAGGAACAAATAATAGGTACTGTCAGTCATTGTCCTGTAATTACCTGCTAAGAATTAAACTAGCATAAAGTAGCATATTTCCTCATGTTCTAGCAATAATTTGCAGAAGATAGGCATGCTTAATTAGCACCAGTCATAGCTAATATTTCATTATTATTTATTATATATAATTAATTTAATACATAACTAAAAAGGAATAAACTTTTTTAATGAAAAAATACACTACTTGATAACTTGCATTAGCAAAAATTTTATTTTTTTATCTCCAAGCATAAATTATTTTTTTTAACTAACACCGATTTATTCATTCAACTGTATTCACTGTAGATCATATACAGATACATTATACAGATACGTAATACAGATTCAATACAAATACATAATACAAATGCATCCATTCTCAACACATGACACAAAATTTCCAAATCACACGGTAATTCGTAAAGTAAACGGAATTTCCCGAAGAGCGAGGCAGCATATGCGCAAACTGAGATGCGCAAGGTAGGATCAGATCACGATCCCAAAACAAAGAATATTTGCCTTCTCTCCGTAGACGCTAGTTAAAACGTCACGGTATGACGCCAGTACTATCATGGCCGCCGCCGTAAACCTAAACGGGCTTTATTTACATTTTAATCAGTGGTGTTTTGGTGGGCGCTGCGATCACGAAAGCTGGAGGCAGTGTCTAAACATAGCTCAGAAATTTTTAAATAAGTGTTTCAGTAAATGTTTTCAACTCTCTGAAAAAGTTTAATGCACTTTTCCTATGCAATGTCTCATTCATCAAATTAAGAAGGAAACTTCGCTTCTTCGAAACTGCAAACATCGTGTTCGCTGTTTACTATCAACACGAGAAATACAAAAGAAACCCTGACACGGAATATTCAGATAAGTAACATTCTGTTCTCCATACAATATCTTATTCTCTATCACTAAAGTGCCATTAAATTTCTTTATTTATTATTTTCATAAGATTCTAGCATTATACAATAGTTAGTAATAATAGCAAGTCATGTGGTTCTTTTCTTCGTAACTATTCCGCAGAGACGCCACATTCCTTAACAGTAGTCCGTTCGTATCAGCAATTCACACCCTTCGGAGGCCCCCCTCTTCGTGCTTAGAAATTTCTTCAGAGGGAAAAAATGGGGATCTCTTGACCATCGATGAGTATAGATTGTGATTTTTGTAACTAAGATCCCCGACTTTTTTTTCCCCAGGTATCAAACTTAGAATTATGAGCAAATATAAATACAGTGTGACGGAATTTGTTAAACTTGTACTATAATAAATTACAACGGTTAAATTAATAAATTAATTTATTTTAACTAATATTAGAAAAATAAACGTATAATTTATTTTGCTTGATATGCTCTCACACTGTGTATGGATTTATGATTTGTCAATTACTGTTTTTCTGAAATATACATGAATTTTTTGGGAACGGTAATAGTTAATGTTACTTTAGTTAAAATATTATGTACATCTCTGTGATGATATATGTCTTTTCTAGTTAGGTCTCAAGATAAGGGCATACACATTATCATGTAGGAATTCATTTATTTTTATTTTTTAACTTAGCTAAAGTTTACTTCTTAAAAGACACTAATTTTGCAAATGAACTCCTTTTAACTACACTCATGGACACAATCGTATTTTACGATATTTTCTACTTCTTTTCCTTTTCTTTCTATAGGCCTTTTTTTTTTTTTTTTTTTTTTTTTTTTTTTTTTTACCCCTCTATTATTTTGGGGCCATTTATTTTAAATTTTATTTTGTCCCATCTTTTCTTTCTGGCCTTTTGAACTCGTACAAAATGTACAAAGTTCCTTTTTTACTCTCCTCAAATACGAAATTGCCCCCCTTTCTATATACCTTTCCTTCGCACCTATGCTTGATTTTTCGCCCATCGGTGCAGAAAGACTTAGCGGGTGCAAAACAAGACATCTGTCTACTTTGTCTGTCTGTCTGTCTTTCGTGTTTTAGATTTATGATTTTATCTGATAGTGTTTTCTGAGTATATGAATATGTTGGATACGGCAATAGATGATGTTACTTAAGTTAATGTATAATTTTGCATGATATTATATGTAGCTTGATCTTATGTGTCTTCTGTTACTGTGTCTCAAGGTAGAGGCAAACATATTGTTTCCCATGTTAAAAAATAAAAGTTTAATTTAAAAATTTTTAAATTTAGTTTCCCTGTTATAGCATAAGTTAGCTTCTAAACTAGACTTATACTGTTATGTGACTGGACCCCCAATATTTATATTTTATTATTAATTTTCACCCATCTTCACATCTATTCAGCTTTACAAAACACACTCATTACACACACCTGGAAGACTCTATTTAATGTAAATGATAAAAACTTCCTTTGACTACACTCATGGACACAATCGTGGGTTTTTTTTTTAACAAAATTCTCTTACTTCCTTTCCTTTTCTTTCTATAGGCCCCTTTTTTTTTAAATTATAAATATAATTTTTTTTCCTCTCATTACTTTTGGGCCATTTATTTTTTACTTTATTTTGTCCCATCTTTTCTTCCTGGCCTTTCGAACTCGTATAAAATATACGAAGTTCCTTTTTACTCTCCTCTGAAATACGAAATTGCCGCCCTTTCTATATACCTTTCCTTCGCACCTATGCTTGATTTTTCGCCCATCGGTGCAGAAAGACTTAGCGGGTGCAACAAAAGACATCTGTCTACTTTGTCTGTCTGTCTGACATATTAATCAGCGTTATTTGCGTGTTAGCTGTTGAATATAAGCTTTTATGCACTGGTTAACTAACAGCTAATTAAATATGTATATCTCGGACACGAAATCATATTCTTGATAAATTAATTTTTAACGCGTTTTTCCCGGAAATCAAAGCTTGCATATATTACCCAACAAATGATACTTTTATAAAAAATAATCACATGGATGAAACACCGACAGATCCAAGCGTGAAGCATCCAAGAACTACCCAGGAAATTTCTCGTGAACAGCTTATTTTACTTTGATGCAGAGAATGAACATCATTGTAATATTGCAAGTTAATAATCAAGAAAGTCAGTTACCTATATAGTGCAGCAGTTTCATGTTCTACGAGGTATGTTGAAAATAATTTAGAAAGGAGCAGTATTTTTAAAAGAAATCATGCATATCCATACAGAAGTAAAACCAGATCAGTCTGAGATTTCTAGCAAATCATTAAACCAAAAGAGTGATTTAAAGTCGCACAGTCTTATATACACAGGAGGAAATGTGCGTGAAGTATGTGAAAAGGCTAATTTAATCAAGCATATACACACAGGAGAGAAACCTTATGTGTGTGAAGCATGTAAGAGGTCATTTAATGCAAAGCGTAATTTAAAGAGTCATATGTTTATTCATGCAGGAGGGAAACTAAAACCGTATATGTGTGAAGTGTGTAAAAAGTCATTTATTGAGAAGGGAGTTTTAAAGAGGCATATGCTAATTCATACAGGAGAGAAACCTTATGTGTGTGAAGTGTGTAAGAAGTTATTTAGTGAAAAGGGCAGTTTAAAAAGGCATATGCATATTCATACAGGACAGAAACTTCATATATGTGAAGTATGTAAGATGTCATTTGCTAGAAACTCTAATTTAAAACAACATTTGCTTATTCACACAGGAGAGAAACCTTATGTGTGTGAAGTATGTAAGAAGTCATTTAGTCAAAAGGTTAATTTAACAAAGCATATACTCATTCACACAGGAAAGAAATGTAATGTGTGTGAAGTGTGTAAGAAGTCATTTAGTGAAAAGTATAGTTTAAAGAGGCATATGTTGATTCATACAGGACAGAAACCTTATGTGTGTGAAATGTGTAAGAAGTCATTTAGTGAAAAGTGTAGTTTAAAGAGGCATATGTTGATTCATACAGGAGAGAAACCTTATGTGTGTGAAGTGTGTAGGAAGTCATTTAATGATAAGAGTACTTTAAAAAAGCATATGTTTATTCACACACAATCTTATGTGTGTGAAGTGTGTAAGAAGTCATGTAATGGCAAGCGCAATTTAAACAGGCATTTGCTCATTCATGCAGAAAAGAAACCTCATCTGTGGGAAGTGTTAAGAAGTCGTTTAATGGAACGGGTAATTTAAACAGGGATATACTCATTCATATAGGAAGGAAACCTCTTGTATGTGAAGTGTGTAGAAGGGCATTTAGTGCAAAGACTAGTTTAAAGACGCATATATGCTCATTCATACAGAACAGAAACCTTATGTGTGTAAAAAGTCATTTAGAATAAAGAGCAGAATTGCCCTTTTATTTGTTTGGCGCTTTTTACAAAAGTAAGAAGAATTAGATTTTCGACAATTTTCTTTGACTTTTTAAGTGAAAATAGGTCGATGTGTATATGGATACAAAGTTTGTGCAATTCTTAAAAACGCGCCAAGCTGTGGGTGATTCTGCATTTTCCCCATTTAGTGAAAAGTGTAATTTAAAAAATATGCTTATTCACGCTGGAGAGAAACCTTATGTGTGTGAAGTGTGTAAGAAGGCATTTAATCAAAAACTTAGTTTAAACAGAAGGCATCATTTAATGGAAAGGGTCATGCAAACGAGCATATGCTTATTCATACAGGAGAGAAACTTTATATGTGTGAAGTATGTAACAGATCATTTACTCAAAACTATAATTTAAAAAATCATTTGTTGGTAAAATCCTAGTGTACGGTGCAGCCCTGGCGCAATTTTAAAATTATCGTCAACACCAAAATGACCCATTTAACTACTTATCGTATATGTCCCGTTTACTGCTCACCATAAAGTCGCCAAAAGTAGCCAAATCCCTTGTGCACCCGATACTAGGATTAAACCCATTTGTTTATTTACACACAAGACGAGCCTTATGTATGTGAAGTGTGTAGAAAGTCATTTAGTGAAAAAGGTAGTTTAAAGAGGCATATGCTCATTCATACAGCAGGGAAACTTTATATGTGTGAAGTGTGTAGGACGGCATTTAGTGAAAAGGGTAGTTTAAAAAAGTGGTAAAAGTTTACATTTGGGTGTCCCTTGTTTTTTTGATGCCAAGTTAGGCACCAGGAAGGCACAATTTCAAGACAGCCGCTACTCAAAACCAAAATAAGAAGTCAAAGAATTGCACAACCTTTGTGTCCATGTACACATTGATCTGTTTTCACTTTAAAAAAAATCCTAGAATTGCACAAACCAGGCATTGTGCACTGCCTTAAATTTGTCCATGTACACATAAATCTATTTTCATTTAAATAAAATCAGGAAACTAAAACAAAGTTAAAACTATCGTGGTAACCAGAAGTGAGGTTTCATCGCAAAAATTGTCACTAATCAAAGGGGCACCCAATACTAGAGCCAAAAAAGCATATGCATATTCATGTAGGAGAGAAGTCTCATATACGTGAGGTATTTAATGAAAAAGTAATTTAAACAAACATTTACATATCACAGAGGAAAGAAACCTCATTTGTGAGAGGTATGTATGAAGTCATTAAGTCAAAGGGGTATTTAAAGAAGCATATGCTTTTTTATACTAATTAGAAATCTCATGTGTGTAAAAACTCATTTAAAGAACCATGCATGTTCACGCAGGAGAGAAACATCACATGTGAGGTATGCAAGAACTAGTTTTGTCAGAAGGGTAATTTAAGAAGCATTTGTTTTTTTCACATAGCATAAAAATGTCATTATTTGCAGAGGAGAGAAACCTTGTGAGGTATGTAAGAAGTTTTTTATACATAGGTGATTTAAATATTTATATCACATAGGAGAAAAATGTCACAAGTTATATATGCAATTTATCATTTGAAAAAAAAAAAAAAATTGAAGAAACTATGTACAGAAGAGAAACCTGTCTTTTTAGCAGAGGTTACTAATAGTCTTCACTTAGCATTGCCATAAGTTTTTGTTCATGCAGCAAATAAATCTTATTATGTGAAGTCAAGGCTGTTGCACCACACCAGATGACATTTTAATTGTGACCTAATCTCAGTTTTCAAACATTATAAGAAGCAAGTCTAAAAAAATTGTTCTGAAATGGTTCTTATATTAAGTTACATACTTTGGAGTTAAATAGAAACTGGCTAGATTTGCCACTTAGTAATAATTTTTGAATTGTAATTAAAGAAACACCCTCTTCTGGAATTAAGTGTAACGGTTATAAAAATAAATGCTTTCCAAATTAATTAAAAATTTGATTTCATGGAAGCAACATTGCTGTATTTTAATCTGCCTAATTTATTTTTAAATCTTTGTTTATAACCATAAATGCTTTTGTTATAAATTATTAAGTGCAAAAGACATGAAAACAGTGCTGATGTTTTCTGAATATATAATTTAAGAATTTTAAAGTTTTTGTAATATGAATATTTCAATTATGTAGTTTAAATGGTTAAAAAGCTTCTTAAGGTTTCAAGTTCTTTAATATACAGGGTGATTCTAAATTACTTTTACAAATTAAGAGGGGTGACAGTACTCATCCAGATGAGCAATAATTACCATAAAATATAGGGTCGTATTCCACTCTGAGAGGCAGAAAAAATATTAGAATTTCAATCTGAACTAACAACAGTGTTGGGAGAGAGAAGGAACGAGACCAAATGTTGCACAATCAGTTTAGTGACAAACTTGCAGAAAGGGGATAAAACCAAAAACTTGGTGTTCAAGTGTTAATTTGAGCTCAGAATTTCATGGTAAACACTCAAATCCACATCTTTGGTTGGCAAGGTCTCAACCTCACAAATGATTGCAACAAGTTAATTATGTAATCAAAGGCTGAATATTATCAACTAACTCCAATGTCCGTTGCATGCCCAGATTAGCATGAAAAGCTCATGCTGCATTCTGGCTGTCGGAGCTTCATGTTGCATAGAAAGTAGAATGAATGCAGCAGAGTAAGTCCAGGACGACAGGAAAGAGGAAAACAACTGCCACCGTGATACTTGATATCAAAGTAGTTTTCCCCCTAATAATTTAGATAATTAACTTGTTGCAATCATTTGCAAGGTTGAGACCTTGCCAACCAAATATGTGCATTTGAGTGTTAGCCATCAAAGTCTCAGCTCTAATTAATACTTGAATGCCAAGTTTTCGGTTTTATCCGTTTTGTGCACTCTCCGTGAGTTTGTCACTAAACTGATTATGGAACATTTGGTCTCGTTCATTCGCTCTCCCAACTCTGTTCTAAGTTCAGATTGGGGTTCTAATATTCTTCTTTTCTGCCTCTCAGAGTGGAATGCGACCCTATGTTCTATGGTAATTATTGCTCATCTGGATGAGTACTATCATCCCTCTTAATTTGTAAAACAATTTAGAATCATCCTGTGTATATGTAAAAGCAGATTGTGGAATAAATTATGCAAGTGTTTTTCAATAGAAGTTAATGAAAGATAATTGATAAATAAATAATTTCAGATGAATTTTTTTAGTATTTAATATATCAGGTGTAGATATTTCAATGTTTAATCAGTACCTTTTAAAATTCATGCACACAAAACTATTACTCACATAATATTCTCGAGAATAAAATCTGAACCAAATGTGCTACATAAACTAATTTCGCATGTTGCAGAATTTATATGCATAAATTTAAATACAGCAGTTTAGATCTAAAAATTAACTTCTTTTCATTATGACTGCTAAAATATTTTTCTTGTAAAACAGGACAAAAACTGTTGTGTGTAAATATTTCTGTAGGAGGCGTAATAATTGGGGATAAGAGGAAAAACATTTCCAAAAATGTGGGACCATAAATGTGCATAACCCTTATTGTTATGCTGCGTACATATCCGGGTTGTCACATTAAATATGATTTAGTGAGGAACTGCGTTGCTTCCTCAAAATCTTGTCACAGCTTTTCGTTTCGGTTGCGAATGATCAGTTAAGTGCTTTCGTTTAAGTGCCGATAGCCTTTTAATACTGAATTATACAAAAGTTTTAGATGATAGCCATGTAAAATTTATTGCACGAGTGCAATTTTTGTAATAGGCTATGCATTCTGTTCTGTAAAATGGCATTTGAGGCAAATAAAGAGGCAATTTGAGGCATTCATTTTTGAATTTTAATTTGTTTATCTTTTTGCAATTGTTTAAACTTTACATTATTTGCAATTGTCGGCCATTGGCAACAATTCAAGTTTGACGCCAAATCGGCGCCAGGAAGGCACAATTCAAGATGGCCGCTACACAAACCAAAAATAAGAAGTCGAAGAATTGCACAAGATCTGTGTCCGTGTACACTAAAAAAATCCTAGAATTGCAAAAATTGGGCATTGCGCACTGCTTTAAATATGTCCATGTACACATCAATCTATTTTCATGTAAATAAAATCGAGAAGCTAAAACAAAGTTAAAACTATCCTAGTAACCAAAAGTGAGGTTTCATTGCCAAAATTTAAAAAAAAATTGTCAGTCCCGGCGAACGGGCTGGCTGCATGGGCGTTTTCGTGGTTTTCCCCATGTGTAACGTGGATACAAGCCAGTTTCCCTTAAAAAGACCTCCACAGGGCATCCCTTCCTTTCTGTGTAGTGCCTAAGGGCGGATCACGTAATAAGTAAAATCGAAGAGGCACCCAATTCTACACTAGAGCCCAATTTTTTTTTTCTTTTTTTTTTTCAAATAATTATGGTAACATTTATCTTTGATAAAGTTCTAATGTCTGAATTCAGTCTTCCCACTTTTACTTACTGCTGTCAGTAAATGTGAACTGATGAAAAATTATGTAAGTTATCCTCAAAATGAAATGAGAAAAATAATTTTGATGAATGGATGAGGATAGATATAACAATGTTTGATCTGATAGCCGTTTCCCTGGATTGTAAGTCTGCATCAGGATTTCCATGATAAAATGGTTTTTCATAAAATTTCCAAGGTATTAACGTCCATTCCTCTTCCATGACTTTCCAGAGTCCACCAATGGAAAAGGGTTTTGCACTTAGCTATTTTCAAGAGACCAGAAGAACAGTCCATATGTGAAATGTCAAGAGACTTTCTGGAATATGTTGAAAAAGTATAAATACAACACCTCTTCATGTGTTCAAGAAATTTCATCTATAGCTATTAGATGTAAAACTTTCTCTTGATAGTATTTGAGCTGACTTTAACATATTTTCCCCCACTTTTCTTATTTTAAATTCCCCATTGTAAAAGAATCCTGTGATAGTTATTAACTCTTTACTGAAAGTTTCTTTCCATTGATGGAATAACCTGGTGTAAAGGTTACATTTTTTTCTAATCATTTTTGATAATAAATAAACCTTTATTCTGTTGCAATCATTTAGATAAAG